TCATGCTATGTGGGTGTCTTTCAGCTGCAGGGACAGGACGACTGGTTGCAATCGAGGGAAGGATGAATGCGGCCAAGTACAGGGATGAAAACCTTCTCCAGAATCCCAGCCAGAGCCCTGACTTAAACCCAATTGAGCATCTCTGGAGAGACCTGAAAATGGCTGGCCCCCAACGTTTAACATCCCAATATGGGGTGCTGTGTGTACATTGAGGAAAAAAATGAACTTAAATGATTTTAGCATATGGCTGCAATATAACAAAGAGTGAAAAATTTAAGGGGGTCTGAATACTTTCCGTACCCACTGTATATACACACACATATTTTGTCACTTACCGGGTCCCTACATAGACTTGCATTAATTTCCAGGAGACTTTCCCTAACCTTAACCAGAACTTCTACTTGCCTAACCTTAACCTTTAACACTTAACCAAAGTCGACACTTGCTCTAACCTTCCACTCCATCGTTTTCATAAAATTCAACAAACTACGTTGTGGGGAGCAGCCTCCGGTCCCCACAAAGATAGTAACCCATGGATTTTGGGCTCCACAAGTATTGAAAAATAAGGCCACACACACATTATTGAAATTACTACTGGAGCAAACCATTTCATTCCATACACAAGCAGCAGAATATTTGTGTTGGGGGGTGCAGCAGTTCATAAAATTAAAATACTTTGAGTGTTGTGCATTATTCTATTTGGCCAGAAACAGGCAAAAACCGTCTGACATACAGTGTCAGTATGTTTGGAAAAAGGGCTCTGCTAGGTGGTGCTTAAGAGGCAACGAGAGGCGTAAAGGTGCAATTTACTGATGTGTACTCAAGGGGGCGTGATTACTTCACTTGCTTCACGATTACACCTGTTTTCTCTGAACTCCCAGAGGGCCCATAGGACTGAAGCATCACATCTACTTTTCCAGAACGACGAGCGACGAACCTGCTTCTCTTTTACGTCATAAACAGACTTTCTACATGACATGCGCGAATGAGATCCAAATCAATTACCTGATCAAAATAGCAGAGAAAAGAATTTACCTGAGGTGAAAAGCTTGGGCACATGACAGAGTACTTCTGGTATGGCCCTTTGCATCATTTTCCAGCTGAGCAGGTTTGACTGACAGCTCAGAATGGGGAGCCAAAACAAGAAAATGTGGATTTAACGTGTCTGAAATGTGGATTACCAAGAGACAAAGAATTTGAGGTGCTTACCTGCGCTGCTGACTGTGTGACGAGTGTCTCTGAGCCACTGACGTCGTCCGTCCTGTGATGGACCTCATTTTTGTCTTCATGGCATGGGCTCGTTTCAGACGATCCATTTTACCTGAAGAAAGATTATATTACTTCAAATTTAATTAAAACTGTTAAGCATACATCGAGTTGAAATCTTCAAATCTTCACACATGATGTACAGTCCTTCATGGGTTGGGGTAGAAACGATTTGCATTGGGTTTTTTTGTGAGGGAGGTTCAGCTTGTGCGCTCACAGGGCGCGTCGTGTGCGCATAGACGAGGGTGGTGAGGTTTAATTTGTTCAGCGTTGCGTCTTGGCAGTGATTAAAACTATTACATTCAGTGTTGATTTCTATTTTAAATGGGTGGCTTGATCTATTTGTGACAAATCTTAATTACTGGAGAAGGGTGACGCACGTCGGTGCTGTAAATAAACACGGTGCAGTTGTCGAGATTGTCTCCCTACAGACTCAAATCTCTTATTTTTGAATCTATTCTGAATCTTAGAATTTAACTCTTTGGTATGCGAGCTGTTTCACCACAGCCGCGTGTAGGCTACAAGACATTTTATTATTTATTCATTATTTATGGGGTTGTGGGAAAAATAAAAATAATGGTTACATCAAGTTATCTACAGACACTAAAAGGACAAAACAGCAGCAGTTGTCCGATCGCCTTACCTCACGTTTGGATCCTCCGATGTTCACAATAGCTGAAGAGCATAATGGTGAGGAGACATTTGCGCAAAATGCGCAAGAGAAGTCTCTCAGAACAAAAGCACCTCGAAAATATACGGTAAATTATTTATAACAAAAAGATGTTCCAGAGTTTTGCTGAAAGAAGCCCGAAGCGTCCTGTCATGGTGACATGAAGACTGAAAAGAAAATGGAACCAACCATACGTTTCACCTCTTGCAGTTTGCGCTCCTTCTGTCTGTCTGTCTCTCCCCTCTCTTCCTCTCTCTCTCTTTAGCAGATACTGAGTGCGCATCTCCTCTTCCTCCCTGAACCCTGTTTTTGGACCCCTCTTCATTTCGGCTGCCAATGAAAGAACCGTGGGAATTTTCTCACACTTGAAAAGAGAGAAAAAAACTTGTTTGCAGCTGTTTGAGCTCATCAGGAGCGAAGGAGCAGCAGGACCATTTGTCTGAGGTACAGAAAACCTCTGTTGTTAAAGGAATGTGATGAATGTTCTTATCTTCCATCAGGAGGGCTAAATCTGCTGTAAGGTAGGTCCGATGCTCTCAGGGGATTTGTGCGTAAAAGTCTGTCCTTGACAATTTCATTTGGGTGCGCACGACAGTTGAATGACAAATCTTCATTTACACAATTAAAGGATGTTTATGACCATGCACTATGCTCATTTATAAGTCGTGATTTTGCCCCCTTTTCACTATAGATAACAAATCAGAGGCCATTTTTAGATATTAATAAACAAAAAAACCGATGTCGACGTTAAACTGTGGAGGAGTTGGGTGACGCAGCATCTGGGATCCATCCTCAGACAAACGTCTGAACAGAGAGGACGGGGTAATTCATGCATGTGAGGGTGCAACTAAAGATGAAAAGGGATTTTTAAGCATGGTTTGGCCTTAGTCTGCTCTGCTATGAAATGAGTCATATACAAACCCAAGGGCATTTGGGTCCTTTTCTCATCCACCTATCTCAGGCTCCCATTTTGTTTATATGACATCATTACCAGCGTCCTTTTCTGGAGGTCCTTCTGTGCTTTACAAGACTGAATGAATTTAAAATATCAAATCTTGCATGATCAAGATTAAACATTGAACAATGCAGCATTTGAGTCCGACATTTGTCTTCAAACAAACAAGGGAGCTTTTTAGATATAAAACATCTGAATTATTCTACCATGTATTTTATAAACTGCTGGGATTGTGAAGAGAGTTGTCATGTATGTTTAAATGCTCTAAAATAGCTTCTTATGAGAAAAGAGACCCAGAGCTGCTTTGGCCATCAATTTCAAAAGTATCTTTTCAAATTGAAACAAACTATGGAGAACTGCTAAACACATTTTGCTGCCACCCCCATCTTATATATAACTGGGGTTCTCAATGAGACCACTGCAAGGGGTTCATCTGAGTAGTCACAAGAGGATTAAGGGGATTGGGGGGAAAAGAAATGCATTGTCCTGTTATACAAATCTGTATCTGTGAAATACTAGACAGATGGACTTTTTCTGGCCTCTAGCAGTTTGTCAAGTCTGAAAATTTAGAAGGGAAAAGCACTTTTTGTTCTGTAGAAAGGGGTTGCTTGTGACACTGCTCTTTTATAAGTTCACAAACCAAAAAAGGTTGAGAGCCACCACTCTCCAATGACCAGCCATTCCTCAGCTCAGATTCAAAAACACTTTTGACAGTGTTTTGTCACATTTCATATTTTGCTTCCCAATATTTATTTATGTTTGGCAGCTGATTTAGTCCCCTCTGTGTCACAGAACATGTCCAGTTCACTGGAGAGGGTTGTGGCCCAGAAGAAGCAGGCCATCGAGGCAGCCATGGATATGTTTGAAAAAGGGGCTGAGGTGCTGGCAAGTGCTGTGGGGGAGCTCTTCCCTCTCTGTGAGGCCGCCGCTCCAGTTCTCCGCCTGGCCTTAGACAATGTCCAGAGCAGAGAGGTCTTCTATGTCAAAGAACAATTCCTGACCGTGAAGAACAAGCTTGATGTGCTCTCCACACAACTGGAAGACATCGAATGTGAAATAAAGAAGGGGAGATTGGACTCCCAGTACTTTTCCATGGAGGAGAACATTAGGAACCAGTTTCGGAAGTATATGGACATCTTGGAGGCAAAACAGCTGTTCAGGCAGGTGAAGACCAGGCTTTTCCTGGAGCACTTTGCCAAAACTGGAGGAGAGAAGAACTTGTTTGTGCTGTATGATGCTCTGATGGGGACGAACAGCTTTGGAGAGTCAGTTTTAGAGGTGGTAGAAAGGTAAGTGGCTACTTCTTCTCATATTTCATGTAGTTCCCATCTTTTGCATGATTATAATGCCTGTACCAATCTAAAAATTTGGACTTATTCAGCTGCTCCCATTTCAAATTTCTCTGGATAGGAACACCAGATAAATACCTTAAATGTAAACGGTTGCACTGTTTTGCAGATACGTGGCAAGGAACAGGCGTCTTCTGGAAGATTTCTGTGTCCGCATGAAGGAGCTCTTTTGTTTGGGCCTCATCGCTCTTCTAGGCTACAGTGCCTTAACCCAGGGCCAAGAGGAAGAAGAGATAAAAATCCAAGAATGGAGCAGCAAAATTGAACAAGTGGAATCCAGGATGAAGACAACCATCGAGTCCTGCATCGCAGCCTTCCCTGAGCAAGCAAAACTGGACGCCCAGTGCCTTCTGCAAGAAAAGCAAGAAGAGAATCTGCAAGATACAACTCAGCAGCTTCTAGAGTTCTTGGTGAAAAAGTATGACTGGGTCAGCTGGTCAGTGCGGCTAATCAACCATTCAGGCAGCACCTACCGGAACTGGAGAGCAGGAGAGCACTTCCATCACGTGGCGGGACAGAACTGGTTCGAGGTACTGCAGGTGAACAATATCAACCTGGTGGTGTCGTACAGCACCAAACCCCAGCCAGTGCCCCGCGACTGCATCCAGCAGGTGATGGAGGGCCAGGGCAAGAAGGGAAATGCCCCGACAGTGGTGGAGGTGTTGGAGAAACAGCTGTGTGGGTTTGTTGTTCACGCAGTCAGCCGCCACAAGGAGTCTGCAGCTGCATGGAGCTTTCCAGAGGACTGTCATTACTGGGAGAGACACAAGAATGTGGTCGTGTGTGTGCACTCAGAGTAAAGCTGACATGCCTGACATTGTAGGATTTTACAGCAGAGTGTTGTATTCAAATTGAAATACTCTTGAGATTTGTGTCACTTGTCCATCTCTGGAAAACACAGAATCTCAGAAACGATTGATGATGCACTAATCTGTAATGCTTGACTGGATGCTGACTTTATTACATGAATTCAAATGCTACTGTTCCATAAAACCTTTCTCTTGCCCACGTTTATACAATTTAGTGATTAATAATAATAAATTCTGAGCACCACAGCAATCCTTCGTGCACAATATTTCCTAAGTCCCAGAAGTTGTTAACTCTAGTAACTCAAACGACCCTTATGCAGCAGGGAGTCCCACTGGGTTTTGTTCAGCTCTTTCACATTTTGTGGTGCACATATCTCATATATGATTGTGGGGCAGAAGTTTAACTACTTAGTGTTTAACATCCAGTTAACAACAAGTCAGATTGGTGCATCCTTAGAGAAACATTTTATTCCATATTTTGTTGCAAAAATGTATTCACAAATGAGCTCTTATTAGCTTTGAGGGTTGTGTCGCTCCTATACAAGACAGACATTTGATTTATAGATGTAAATTTAGTTTCAGCTGTTTGAATAGCAACTGTTTGCATATTATACATGATATCACTACACATTTGTAATTTATGAGTTACTAACCAGTTTGTTTACAACTATAAGAAATTTTACACTAACACTGTACTGTATATACAGTAATAATAGGGTGTGTCTGCTTTTACTGTAATAATCCAGTCTCCAGTGAGAAATGGCTTCTACACCTACAGCTCTAAAGAGATGGTTTTGCTGAGGCTGCATCTACAGAGCTGTGCTTCCATTTTGTCTCCACTCAGCAGGCTGGCCTACATAACTCTGACAGGGAGCGCAGAGGTTACCTTTTCAGCTGTGAAAAACAAGAGGCTGAGAGTTTGGCACTGGAGATGGGACAATGTGCCTTGTGTTTCAACACATTCAAACCCCTTGATGTGCAAACAAATCCACTGAACCCTACTGCTTACCAGCGCTGTGCCTGTAATTACACTCTGTAATGGCTTGTACCCGTTGGTTCAGCCTGGATGAGAGTGATTCTGTCTGCAAGACTCTTCATTTGTGCAATTTAGCTGTGTGATAAACAATAATTGCTGTGTAATTTTTGCACTTCTCAACCAAATGAGATTTTATTTTTATTTTTTTTATGATTTACAAACTAAACACCAATTTTTGCTTATTTAAAACAAACCACTGTGATTTACTAAAACATTTCACTTCCCAGGTGCCTATCAAAACAAACATACCATGTTTAGATCCATGTTACACCAATGAGTGAATAGCAAAATTTATATATACTTATATCAAAATGTCATGTATTACTTAAACTATATTAGCATCTATATCGATGACAAAAAACTCAATAAAATCAGTGCATGATTGATGGTCACTTTTTTATGCCTTATGACAATTAATGACTAAACAAATAGTTATTGGAAGTGTAAACAAGTAGAATC